AGGTTGTTAACTGTCAGTTTTTGATTTATGACAGCTTTCGTGGAAGTTTAAGCTTTGTTGAGAAATTTTTGCTGATGGTTCCCCTTTTCCCTAGGTAAATCGCTAATTGCTCTGGTTTATATGAAATTAGGAAAGTTGTTGGCTTGAAAAGGTTATGAAAAGCCGAATTTGACGTTTGACCCCAAGAACATTAGAAAAACATTTTGTCACCAAAAACTGATTGCTTTTTGTGTTTTCTCTTTCATTTTCCGACAAGAACGAATTGTTTTCTTTTACAGGTGAAAGAATGGCACTCAAGATGCCATTTGAAATGGGGAATCTGACTTCGTTTCCGATGGAGAAGCTCTGTTACGAACTGAAGTTGGAAGTGCTGGAGAGAACGGACGCGAAAGATGTGATCGAGTTGGTCAAAGTGAATGCGGGATTTCAATCGATGCTTTCACGCAATCCGTCTCTTGTTTTCAACCACCACGTGGACGAGATTTCAATGAAACATTGGTACGGCGGGAAGTTTAGAATCCGGAAGTTCTTCGACTCCTTGGACATTGATGCGATTCATTTTCCGCTAAGCAAACGAATCCATTCGTGTGACACATTGGAGCTAGCCTTGAACCATGAACTCAACAACGAACACGCGACGATTCTGAATCAATTGAACTCTGTGAGAAATTTGAAGCTCGTATTTTTTGCTCGCAGAAAGGAGTGTTTGCTAAAATTTTTTGACAATTTCCGCTCGGTGATTGAAAAATCCGCGTGGATTCACCTGGACATTGATTTGTTGGAGGAAAATCAAGTGATAAGCGAGCTTTTTGAGAATTTTATTTCAAATCAGCTGAAGGACTGCGAACAAGTCAAGTGGTGGGATTATTATCGTTCTGCCACGGCGTTTCACTTCTACTACGATGCTTTTGCCAAGACTTCGATCGAAATCTTGAAAATCTCAACCGAAGTGAATAGCTTTGAAGGGATCGTGCAATCAATCGTGGAGAAGGGGATCCCAAGCAAGAATTCAAAGGCAGCTTTTTTTGTGTATTACATCGATTATGTCGGAACCGATGTTTCTCGGGTGATGGAGGCCCGAATCGTCGATTTTCTTTCGCAATTCCGTGGAATGAATCGATTCGACCTAGAAAATCAGCAAGAAGTCACCAAAATGGCGGACGAACTACTGAACAAGTATTTGGGCGGATCCGACTGCTTTCCTTTGGACGGTCCATTTTTTCGACGAAATATTGACGCGAGCAGAGATTGTATCTACATGCTTCCCTTCGGCGAATTCGATCGATTTTTCGCCTTCTACATTGAACCACATTAGGAAATGATCGTGTTTTGAGGGTTTTTATCGAGTCTTTTATAGTTTAGTGCTTTCATTGTGTAATTTTGCCTTTTTTAGTTCTCTAAGAAGTAAAGTTGTGCAATTTCTCTTTTTGAACGATGATTTGTTGTGTTGAAGACACATGGGGATATCTTTTTTGATTGTTTTATAGCTGAATATCATTGAAAGTCCGGTAAAATTGTACTAAAACACTGGAAAGTCGTGATTTTTTTAGTTAGCATCAGCCAACTCTGCTATTTGAGTGTAAATTTACTCGTGACGCTAACCCTTAGCGTTTGGACTTCTAGATGATGTAGCTCTGCTGCCCTTTTGACAGAAAATCGTTTTGTTGGGCATATTTATTCCTTGATTTGAAGATATTCAGCTAATAGCGATGAGTAGGGTTGGGCGCATTGGGAAATTCAAGTGAATTCGATCATTTTGTGATCAATTTGAGACGGATGGGTTAAGTAAATTGGCAATATTAAGTGTATTAGACAAATTTAAAGAAATTTTCACTTTCAAGAACCTAATTTTCGCCCAGATTTTGCGAGTTTTCCTAAGCCCTTTTTTGGGAAAGACTTGAGAATATTAAGCATTGAATATTCTCATTTTATATAAATAACGTTTTTCTTTAGATGTCGACGGCGACGAATGTCTTTCCGCTGATCAAAACGGAACAACAAAGATTTCAACAATTGTCAGATGACACATAGAAAGCGAAAAAGTGGATATATGGCGAGTTCGACGGGCAAATGTACACGCAATCCCTAGCCGATTCGATATTCCAACGATCGTCAAGAAGGATTTTGAAATCGATTCTGAACAAATGTTAATGGTTGGCCCTTCTCTTGGAAAATCAACTCCAATTCATTGTCGAGAAATCTATTCAACTCTAGAGCCTAGGCACGTCAATTTGATTTGTGAACAGATGTTAAAATCATATCCCAACTCTTTGATTTAGCCAGAAACAAAGGCCGAAAATGTGTTTGTCTTTGATAGTGAAGAAGATAGCTTACGAAATATGATCTCGCTTTGACCCTTCTCAACAATGAAATAAAGAGGGAAATTGCAGGGAAAGAAGTGATAATGGAACCACATTCACAGCCGAGCCTTCCCCAGATGGACGTATCTAGTACGAATATCCAGATCTAGTACAAAAATCCAGGAGTCAGAACCGGGGCTCTGATCTGACCGTCTCATTTAAGAGCCTAGACCCGATTCAATGCCTTACATAATTTAAGAATTCTATTGAAAATCTCGTACGTCTAATAAAACCAAGCAAACTTCCAGTCCGTCTTCCTTTCCAAGAAGACGCAAGGTGACAAGGGGTGAAAAAAACGCGGCAAACAATCCGATCTCCAATCGATGTGGATCCCATTCCCTAACTTATTTTGGCTAATTATTTTTATTTCACATTTTATTGGCCATTTATAAAGCTTTATTTTTTGACTGAAATAAATGATGATTGAAATGATTTTTGTTGCACAAAAAAGAAGAACAATTGAAAATGTAAATAAATTGTAAACGATCGATTGATTTTTGTTAACTTCTGCCCCGGCTCCACGTATTCTGTGACGTGTTTAACCATTATGTTTTCAAGGTACTTTACGGATAATGATGTTGTCAATTAGTTCAGCTAAACTTGGTCATTCTCATTGCATTCCAGATAATCCTTTGCAGGTCCATTAACATTAAAGCGCGCGTTATTGTTGTTGCACACGTAGATTTGAGCGTTTTTTTGCTTCTTTGAACTTTAACCGTTTCCTTGGTGATTCTTGCATTTTGTTACAAATAAAGTTTGGAATTTTATTGAGAAAGATGAAAGTTTTGCGGTGAATTGGCGGGAATTCAATGCTTTGAGCCTACATAAATTTCTCCGCTTTCTTGGTCACTCTTTTGGGATTTCGTTTGTTTCGTTTCATTTTCAAATAGATTTTTATCTTTTAACTAACACAGATTCTCTTAAAATAAGTACTGAAATGCGGGGGGAAATACAGAATACAGAAAACTTTTAAAAAAGGTGCAATTTCTTTGATTTTGACACAATTTTGAGCTTCATTTGTGAAATTTTTAAGGTTTTAAGCGGTCAAAAATTAGAGTTGAACACACTTTTTAAAGAAATTACATCAATTTTAAAGAAAAGGCCAGGAAAATCACAGTGAGAGGTACCAGCCGTTGGAGAACAAGGAAAAACAAATTGGGACGAGTAGGTAATTTTTAAAGGAAAAGTTATTGAAGCTTTCAAAATCTATAAAAACGAGATTTATTGAGAAATTGAAATGAAAATTTACTCCTGGAGAAAAATCAGAGCGGTTTTTCCAAGTTGAGCAATTTTTTTGAGTGGTTTACCGGAAATTTCAAAGATTTTGAATGAAGCTAATGAAATGAAATTTAAATGAAAAAAAGGAAACGAGTTAATGTGGGTAACAGGATTTTTTATAAACTTAAACAATGATATTTAGGCGAGTTTCAAAGGAAAATTTGTCATGGTTAAAGTAAAGAATCTCAATTCATCCCATCCTCTTCCGCGCCAACGGGACAATCCTTTGAGGGAATCGTGCCCAAATGGGAATCCCGACGGGTTTTCTGAAAGAAATATTGTGATCAGCCAGACTGGGCGTGTTTAGAGGACAAAGTAGAATGCTACCTAGTGGCTAGGTAGCATTCTAGCCTAAGGCTTGATAGCATTCTAGAAACACTACATTGAAGGTGCCGAAATTGAAGCTAAAGCTCATTTTTTTTACCTTTTTTTTTGCCTTTTACCTTTAGCTAAAGCAATTTTCCCTACGAATTCCTTTACCGACAAATCGCGCAAACGCTCCTTTGTCCGAAATGGGTGGCACGGCTGGCTTGTCTGTAATTTGAATTTGAATATGACCAAAAGTCCAGCAGACTAGCCTGTCTAGTCTAGCAATCAGCTACAACTCACTTGTAGAAGAGGTCTGACATCCCGCGAACATCATCCAATGTGGCCGAGTGGCAACACCATTGTAGCATCACCTGAAAGCTCTTGCTATCACAAATTTCCCAACAACGATCTCACCTGAGTCTCGTAGTCTCTTAAAATCTTCACGAGAAGATCCCGCAAACCGGGGATTTCCAGGTCTTCTGGGATCTGAAAAATTGAAAGCTTTAAGGTGTTCAAATTGAAACTTCATTATTTCTGTTATTCCTACCTTTTCAATGATGCCCAATGGGTCGATTGAGGTACCAGCAGTCGCCAAAAGTTGAGAGATATTGCCTGGAGATCGACTTGAAACCACCTCGTTCACCAACAGTGACCACAATTCGTCATTCTCATGCTCTGGAAACGAATTAGATCTGATCTCTGATCTCGGTCTCTGAGCTGCTTTCCAGATCAGAGAATTTTCAGGTTTTCAGGGCTGGCATTTGAGGATTTTTGTAGTATAGTACTCCAACACTGAAACGCTTTCGGGTCTAAATACTAGATTGTGCTTTTTAGTGATTTTTTCTTACGACCGGTTAAGTAAAGTGAATTGATTTTAGTTCATCCCCCACTGCTTTTCAAGGGAGTTTTTTTGGCTTTTTGGCTTGTAAGTCGCCTGAGGAGTTGGTCATCCAGGCCTGAGGACCTGGCTTTCCAGCGCGTGAATTCTGAGCGTTTCAGATTTATCCAAGAAACGGCAAGATAAATTGGGGAAAACGTTGCTTTCTAAAGTCATTTAATCTCTTTGTATTCCCAGAACTCATCAATTGCGATGTTCATTTGTCGACAAAACTCTCGTTGATGTTCATCCTTCCAATCCATATCACTTTCTAAAAATATACTTCGATAAGAAAGTTCGCAATTGCAACTTTGACTTTCATCATTTTTAACTACATAACTTCTTGCCTTTTACTAAATTAGAAACTTTTAATTTTTGAACTGGTAGGTTATAGAGAAATACTAGGCTATAGAGAAAGACTATGGCTTTCTGATAGGGAAAACCGCAAGTCGATTGGTTGGATATTCATTTCTAAATGAAACTTGGAAACAAAGTCTCGAGACTTATGTAACAACCTAATATTAGACTATTTACGGTAGCATAAAACTACATTTGTATTTATTGGGTTGTATTTGTATTTAATCCACAAGTCGTACTTATGGAGCAGGGCTATTTGGCTCATATGGATCAGGGCCATCTGGCTCATTTTTGGCTCATTTGCATCAAGGAAATCATCCCCATCCCAATCCACATTTACCCAAAACTCACCACCTTTAGCAAAAACTAAATGAAACCGAATTTACTGCGTTCTCAAGAGTCATAAAAACCATCTCGTGTGTTCTCTAGAGTCACTAAAGTCACAAAAATCACTAAAAGACGACTCACCCATTTCGGATCCTTGAAGAAAGTTGATAATGATCTTGAGGATATTCTCGAGCTCATATAAACTAATATAAATCAATCCACGGTATTCCCATAAGTACACAGCATTGAGTCGTTCAAATGAGAATCTTCTACCCAAAAACGACGTTCTATTGCTGAGATCGAGTCCCAACACGAGTCCACTTTTCATCGGATGATCGTTCATCTTTGACTTGTCCAATTTGTTTTGCTTCAACACATAGCTTGGCCATGGTTTCTCTTCTAGGTAAATGAAGTAAAAGCCGAATGATGGGTCTTGCTTTGTCTCGATTTCACGCAAAAGTTTTTCTGTTAAAAATAAGTTCGTACAATGACAAAGTATCAGATTCTCCCAGTCATCGATCAAACAAAAAGCCCTTTCAAATAGGGAATGAGTCTCAAGAAACTCTCGTTGCCTCAGCGTATCGCATGCAGAATATTTGATTCGTAATTCTTCTGTTGGACCAGCTGGGAAGTATTCAGTTGCACAAGGAGATGGACAAGGACAAAAAGGGAAAATTATTTTTTCTGGTATTGCATCAACGAAATAAACCATCTCAGGGAAGCGACTTCTGGAAGAAATGGTTATAAATTGCTGCTGCAGCTCTTGATCATTTTTGGGGAGATTTCTTAAACCGTTCATCAAGGGATTTAGGAAGCTGCCGGCCATGGCATCGGTGAGAATATCGAGAAATTCTTTCAGTGGCTCCGCACATAACTTTTTCCTTTCTTTTCCTCTCGAATAAGAAATAATAAGGTTTTTCTCCTCGCTAAGCCTCCTACGAATCATTTCAAGATCAATAGGTGTTGTACATATACGGCGTTGCGGGGTATGGGCTCCAATAGGAGAAATTTTTCCTCGTTGACTCTGTGCTCGGATTTCACCAAGATCTTTTCTGAAAAGCAGCCCGAACTCTTGGCACCATTCATGTTTCGAATCATCTAGATACCACAAAAGGAAGCCTTCTCGTCGCGAGAAGACATTTTGCATCTCTTGGGTGTTATGAATCGACAAGTCCAACAACTCGATCAGCTCCTTTGACGTGATCGTGCTCGAGGCACAGTTCCATAAAGCAAAAATGGAAAATTGCTGGCAGAATCGCTGCAGAATGAAATCGAAGGAAACGAGCTTTGTGAATCCATTTAGCCAAGCCAGCATCGATTTCGTTATAGCGGTTGACTCTATGGATAAATATCTGTAATGATCTTCCCGAAGCCGGCTGATATTGTTATAAAAACTTCGATACGCGAACTTTTTCAATATATCTTTTATTTCACTTATCAGAGTTTGTTGCTCGAATTGATTGAAATCGGAAAGACAATGAATTTTCAAGAGTTCACTGGCCAACGCAGCTCTATACTCATTCACATTGCACAATTGCATGTCGCAGATTTCCAAACGAATCGGTACTTTGGCTTTTGGACTTGTCAAGTATCGCTTTCTCAGTGGCCAAGAAACAGAAATGTTGCGTAGATTCGTCGTTCTTTTGATTTTTGGCAGAACATTGTTGAGAAGGAAAGTGGGAACGATCAACGGGATTTCTTTGGGTTTCTCTTCGGTGTTCTCCTTGTGATCACTTCCAAAAGTGGCATCTGGTGGATTGATGGTCGATAAACTTTGCTCTTCCAAACTTTCAAGCCCAATCGGTTTCGTCAAACACGTTTGGTTCGGTTGTATTTCGGGTAGAAATTCGTATTTGGCGAAGTACTAAAAACAGATAAAGTACATCATTTTTTACTAGTCTGAGAAGAGATTGACTGAAAAGATTGACTCGTGAAAAGTTTCCTAGCGTAAAAAGTTTCCTAGCTTCGAACTCTAGTGAATAACTTTTTGAAGCAAACCTTTTCCAAGGAAATCGCTACTTTCAAAGCATTTCCAGCATCAATTCGTCTCTCGAGCGCAATTTGCGAAGAAGAACAACTAAGTAAATAAGCTATTAACTAAGCTAGCTAAGCTATTAACTAAGCAACTAGGCTATTATAAATTTCTTCACTCACCTAATAATCAAATTATTAAGTTTTTCAATTTTCAAGCAATCCGTCGCCGCAGAGAAACGAATAGACTCTTCTTTTTTGAAGAGTTTTCTTTCGATAATCTCCCAAAGTACCAGTCCAGCTCCATAGACGTCTGCTTTAAAAAGATTCTGAAAATGAAATAATAGATGAATTCTTAGCTTAGCTTAGCTTTTGGAAAAGAGTCTAAGGAATAAATCCCTTCGCCCACCTCTCCATTCAATTGGATCCCTTCTCTAACTTCAGGCATCATGTAAAGCCAAGTGCCAACAGAGCCATGAACTGTCGTTTTTGTTGATTCAACTCGTTTTATTACACCAAAGTCACCGACTTTCAGCACAAAGTGTTTAGCGACAAAGATGCTGAATCTCTTTTTTTTCTGTCATCGATAAAAGTAGAAGAAAGGAATTGAAAAGAAAAGAAAAAGCAATTGATATTTTTCTGGATATTTTTCTGGCTTTGTGCCAATATTCATAGCATTTATACCAGAAAATTCGGAAACTTTGTGTCGGGATTCAGCGGGATTCATTTGAGGTTTATCCCGGGCTGTAGCCCTTCAATTTTTCTCAATTTTTCTAAATTTTTTTAAAAGGATACTTTTGTTTAACTTCTGCATCAAGAAAAAGAAAAAAATTAGAAAAAGACAAAAAACTAGAGATGTGCCGGGATTCGGCTACTGGGCCACACAATGGCACACAGTGGCAGGCACACAATGGCACAAAATGGCACAGTGGCATATGGGCCAGACAATGGAGAGGGCCACACAATGGCACAAAATCTCTCAGCATGAGGCATAAAAATGATTCGTACCAAAGGAAAAAAGAAAATACCAGAAACTTACTTTTCTGGTTTGATATCTCGATGAGCAATTCGCATCTTTTTGAGATAGACCAAAGACGTGAAAAGTTCCTGTGCCCATTTGACAATCGTGGCCACCGAATAAACGATGCGGGAATCGTCAATCACTATCAATCAAGCAAAACATTTGAATTCAATCTTTTTATTCTTGACACGGGCTGAGTATCTGGACCTGCTCGTTTTGAGTCGAACTTGCGTCTTTTCAATTGATTGTTTAGAACTTAGAACTGTTTTAGAACCAAAACACTCAGGGGGTGACTATCAGCTCACCGTTTCTCATCGACCCCTCTTCGCAATATTCCATGAAGATCGGGTAATTCTCTCCAGTGTACTCAAAATCGTCGGGTTGATCGAGATATTTGACCACATTCTCGTGCATCAACACCCGTAACACATCCAGCTCTTTTGTCTGATCGTCGGGATTTTCACAACGATCGATTTCTTTCATCACAATTGCTCTGAAATTCGCGAGCTATCACGAAAATATCGAAACTCTTTAAAATCTTTCTTTTTTAAAATTCTTTTTTGAGAACATTTATTGATTGATTGATTGAAATTGATTATTGATTGAAATCCTTTTCAAAAGCATCATAGGCTTGTCAAAAACACAAAAAAGGGCCGGCAAGTTTTACTATAATCGATTATTTTAAGAAATAAACTTATTTTTTTGATAAACCGCGTCTCACAAGCACTTTTCAAATGACTTTTCAAATGATTAAAACTAAAGGAATGGCCAAAACATAGCGCTAAAGGAGACTTGTGAAAAATAGTAAAGAAAAACAGTAGAGAAAATTCGAACAAATCTAACAAATCCAACAGAAATCCCAAAACCCACGGATTATATTGCTTCAAAATATAGGCTCTTCCAAAACCGCCATGACCAATCAATTGAATCATGAAGAAAATAATGATATTCAAGTCGACCGATTTGAGGTAAAAATATTCGAATTTGATTGCACTTCGTTGAAGAAATAAGTTCTATAGTGGCAAGAAATTCTTCCTGTGGCGTTATCGTTGCGCAATAAAAACGCCGTTGAGCCTTAAACAAGACTCCGATAAAAGATAATGTTAGGTTGAAAGTGATTGTCCTAGTGATTGAAAGACGGTACTTTGAAAGTACTTCGGTTTGCACCAATAACAGCAGACATTTTTTTTCGCAGCCCTTTCAAATGCAAATTAGACAAACGACTAAAGCGGAGCACTCAGTGGAGCTGAGTAATAGGTGACAACTTGATTATTATTAATTTGTTATTATTAGTAATTTATTATTATTATTATTATTATTAACACGATTGATTGATTTTAAACGTAAAACAACGTATAAGCCAAACCGCAAAACTGACAAGAAACAATGCTTTGGAGCTTCTCCAGAGTCTTTTTTCAAGAAAATTAATTGAGGATGACGTTTGTTGATAGAAACCGAAGGACGAAGGATGAGCCCGGGAATTAGATTCCTTCCACCAATAGAGATCTCGTGCACATGATGTCCAAAAACCATCCAGGGTGTCCGTAGCAGGATCGAACGAAATCCTGCATTCACCTTGACTTTTTTTTTTGATTTCCATTTGAATTGAATTCCAAACCTTATTTGTAATAAAATACAAGAAACACCAAGGAAACAGTTTAAGTTAAAAGTAGCAAAAAACGATCAAATCTACGTGTGCAACAACAATTGCAATGAGATCTGGAATGCAATGAGAATGACCAAGTTTAGCTGAACTAATTGACAACATCATTATCCGTAAAGTACCTTGAAAACATAATGATTAAACACGTCACAGAATAGTTTAAAAGTGATCACCTCATTGACATAACACGTAAAAAAAGCGGACGCATTCAGAACTATTTAATAAACACTATTAGCTAACTACAAATTTAAACCATGCACTTTATTGATCAACGTTTGCTTGGAAAAACGGGAGTCTTCTTTAAAACAGGCCAGTTGAGAATCTCTTATGTACGACAGATTATAATATAGTGAGAATGAAGTTTTTGGCTAAAATTCTTAGTTTTTATATCGGCAAATCGGCCATTCTTCTAGCTGAGAAATAGACAAAATCATCAAGACTCAAATGCCTAATAAATAAAAAATCAACCTGTAAATATGTTTTTTTTATTTCCGAGAGATGGTGCCAGAGACACGCCCGCATTTAAATAATAAATTATCGATATTATCGATTTCAGATTTAACTAAACTCACTTTAACTTTTTAACTTTAGATTCCCGTTGGCTGAAGTGAGATCCGATGGAGTGAGCAAACATTAAATCAAAAAATGATTGCGGAGCCCTCACCTCACCTGGAATTAGTTGGCCATTCAATAAGTCATAGCAGAATACTTTGAAAACTTGAAATGATCATCGATTGCTCAACCTCAATCATTGCGAAGACATTTTCTATTTCCGCAGTGTCAACTTTGAAACTCAACACCATTATCCGTCAAACGATACGAAGCAGCGTCAGCACCTAGATTCATCATACAAGGTTTATGTTTCCTTTAATTCAATGGATTAAGCTGACTATAGCGGGTTACTTAAAAAAATTCAGTAAATTGAGATAAAATAATATAAAATTGCTCACAGATTGGCGATGCACCTGGACCAGCTGGATCTCGGGATACCTTCATGGGGATTCACACTTGTTACGAAGCCGTTAATTTTAACAGTACGTAGAAATAAGGGATTCGTGTCATAGGACCCAGACAAATTAGGTATTTTGTCCCGCTTTTTCAAGGGGAGTACCAAAAATTGAGTAATACTCATAATTGTAATACTCATAATTGTTCGTCTGCACGGAAATCTTTAGTAAAAGGCGAAAGATTTTCTCGGTCAATTGCAGATGAACCAGAGATGGAAATATTCATCGCAAATTCAGTAATCATCAGTAAAGTGAGATAAATGTAAAAATAGAAAATGTAAAAATAAAAATAATAAAAATAAAAAGCTTTTGCTCGGATCTCTTAGAAATCCAGAAAAAACCCAAAAATGGGATCCGGAAACTTATAATTTAAAATAATGATTTGAATCAATTTGAATAATTTGAAACGCTAATTCGAAACCACAGTCTGTCAGATTTCAGAGCGCCAGGATACGTCCATTTCATTTCCTTTTTCGTAATATTGAAAGTGGGATTTCATTTCTAAGCTGGGACTAATAAACAGAAATCTAAAAATATAATCATAAGTTCTGTTTTCTATGTCGAATTCCCCTATTGTATTTCTATATTTCCTTTGGTTACCTTTGTAATTCTGGATAGTGTGACAACTATATCCCATCCTGAAATGATTGAGAAATCAATCAATCAGTTAGAGTCGATTACTTTGAAACTCAGGCATCGACATCGCAAAGCCTTTGTTTGCCCAAAGACCCTTTTGGCCGAGATGAAGGTAAATATTAAAGGTAAGGGTTAAAGCTTTTAGTTCTTATACCCCTACTATTCTATTTAGTACACTACGAGGCGATCTTGCGATCCGTTCAACCTGTTCAATATGCAGGAGGATTTGTATTGTGATGTTGGTATGCTGCTTTTCCCATCTACGATTTCTAATTTGTTTAATGTCTCATTCCGTTTTCTCCACATTTCCGCATTGCCAAAACTCTTGAGTTGATACCTTTTCTTTAGATATTTCTAGTTATTGCGAATGATTTTTGCGTTATTCAAACTCGTCCGCTTATCGCTTTTCTTTGTTACTTGTACGACTTCTTCTTTTCCTTTTATTTTCCCGGTGATTGACAATGCCAACATTGAAATGAGAAAAGAAATGAAGAAAAAAGAATGATTTGAGATGAAAAATGGCGACGAGAGAAAGATGGTTCAAGTTTTGAGATCTCATTGTTTCGAACATTCATTTGTCAAGCTGCAAAGGTGGGTCTTATCGCACTTTTAAACTTTTCAATCTACATCTTTAATTCTTTTCTTTAGAAAAGAAATGATATGCTCGACGAGTTGCTGTGGAAAGTGTGCGTCGAACGGATCAAAATCGAGTCGTAAACCGGGTGCGATGATGGGGAGAACGTGAGCGAATCGACGTCCCTGATCGAGGATCTTGATGGGATGGTGGGGCTTTTAACGGTTTTCAGCTAAATTCCCCTAGTTGGTGCTTCTAGCTACGTTTGCTAAACGAGTAATCGTTAAGAATTTCAATTCTAGCGAACATTCATCTGATTTTTACCTTATCATTATCACTAGCTATTCGTTTATCAAGCGTTAGCAATAATCTTACCGTTTTTTCAGTAGCGTAAAAAATTGATACTCCCTCTTTGCCAACTTCTACTGTCATTCTAATCCAATCCGAAGTTTAAGCATTGAACAGATGCCCAAAAGAAAGTTTTATCGGTGGTTGTAGCGAAAACGTCATTTAAAAAAGAAAAGACTTTTTCACTGCAATGGTTAATGAAGAATTGCAGAAATTGTAAAGTTTCAGATACGAGAATGCCTGTTGAAACGCGCGTACAAAAGCGAAAGCGAGAAAACGAAAGAATGAAGATTTGTATGAACTTATTGCTAGATTGTTACCTATTCCGTTTTTTCTTGGGCGTCAATGTGATTACGAGTGTTTTACGGTATTTGGTAACTTCTTTAATGTTTTCTTGTTAATTTTCTAATAATAAAGTTACTACTTGAGGTATTTTCGGGCAGTTATTTGGTTCAAGGACCATATTATTTTTGATTTATGACCGATTTTGTGGAATCTTAAGCTTTGTTTGGGAAGTTTTGCTTATGGCTCCGCTCCTCCCTAGGCTTTATGAAATTAAGAAAGTGGTTGGCTTGAAAAGGTTATGAAAAGCCAAATTTGACATTTGACGTTTGACCCCAAGAACATTGGAAAACCAAGACAAAACGAATTGTTTTCTTTTACAGGTGAAAGAATGGCGCTCAAGATGCCGTTTGAAATGAAGAATCTGACGTCTTTTCCGATGAAGAAGCTCTGTTACGATCTGAAGTTGGAAGTGCTGGAGGGAATGGACGCGAAAGATACGATTGAGTTGGTCAAGGTGAATGTGGGATTTCAATGGATGCT